GGAGTTAACGTTCGTTCGTTACAGTGTTGTTTTAGCGCGAGTATTGAGATTAAGTGTATCGCAGAGTTATATTCGGAAAGAATAAATCAGTTTTATTAAGTAAAGACTTGTGTCGTTAAAGTTTCGTTGGAACGAAGTTACGGAAAGTTAATTAACAAACGGAGACGTAACACTACATTAATTCAATTATTAGGAAGAGTGAGTTAACACTTTACTGTCTGTACATTAATTGCATTATGAAATAATTTTTAGATACAATGAGTTAATACTGTACATTAATTGCATCATTCTAGGAACAGTGAGTTAACACTTTACATTAATTACATCATGGCATCATTTTAGGAACAGTGAGTTAATACTGTACATTAATTGCATCATTTTAGAAACAGTGAATTAACACTTTACATTAATTGCATCATTTTAGAAACAGTGAATTAACACTTTACATTAATTGCATCATTTTAGAAACAGTGAATTAACACTTTACATTAATTGCATCATTTTAGAAACAGTGAATTAACACTTTACATTAATTGCATCATTTTAGAAACAGTGAGATACTACTGCTTGTTTGTTAATTTCCGGTATAATTTTTTTCCGAGGAACTTTAGCAATACATGTCCCTTCTTGATTAAAATCAGTTTATTCTTTCTCGATACAACTTTGTAATACACAGAATTTCCACAGTCACTTTAAACTTAACAGCCTTTATAACACACACTATAAATCACAGTGATTCACACACTTTACTTACGGTGCCTACTGTTTGCTTGACTTAATTATCTACCTCTTCAATCTATCTATCCATCTATATCGCTGGCTTATATACTAAAAAAGAGGGCGTCTAGCAAACACCCAGACATTCGCGGGGTTCCCCGATAATCCTAGACACTGCCACGCGCATGCTTCCAGCGTCACGCGACTTCCGCTGTTGTAACACTACATTAATTGTATCATACTGTTTTTAGATACAGTGAGTTAACATTGCACGTTGATTGCATCATTACGTCGTTTTTAGACACAATGAGTTAACACTGTACGTTAATTGCATTATGAGGTTGTTTCTAAGTGCAATTAACAAGCTTTATCTATCAAATGCAGCAAGAATGTAATGTCTTAGCACAGGGAATCAACAAGTTGGCCTGATAATTGTCTCATATACTCCGTTTTTAGATAAAATTAGTTGACATTGTTAGTTGTTAATGCGTCATGATTTTAGATAAATACAGTGTAGTAAATGTACTGTTACGTCTCTGGTCGTTTGTTAATTTCCCATAAAAATTCTTCCCGAGGAACTTCAGCGATACAAGTCCTTTCTTAAATAAAACTAGTTTATTTTTTCTCAATACAACTTTGCAATACACAGAATTTCCACAGTCACTTTAAGTTAAACACACGCTATAATTCACAACGATTCACGCACTTTACTTACGGTCACTACCGCTCACCTGACTCAATTATCTGTCTCTATATCTGTCTATCTGCAAATATCTCCACTTTATTTGCCAGGCTTATATATTAAAATAGAGGGCGCGTAGAAAAGACTAGAGTTGCCAGGAACAGTCATGATCCTTCTAGAAACTCCAGCGCGCATGCTTCTAGCGTCACATGACTTCCGTTGTCGTAACAGTACGTTAAATCTGTCACGACGTTTCTTTTAGGTATTAGAATTAGCTTTGTTCGTTAATTTGATTGTGTCCTGTCACACGTTTATGAGTGCGAAGTATTAATACCAGCGTTACATTCACAAAGGGTGAATTCACACCCTTCGTCAAAAACAAAAAAAAAAAAATCACGCACACAATACAATTGTTTGGAAAAAATATGTTCAGTAAGTTCTCTCAGTTGAAGTAATTAGTAATGAAAGTGTACTATAATAAGTAATTAGTAGTGAAAGTGCACTATAGTATGTACTTAGCAGTGAAAGTGTACTATAATAAGTAATTAGTAGTGAAAGTGCACTATAGTAAGTACTTCGCAGTGAAAGTGTACTATAATAAGTAATTAGTAGTGAAAGTGCACTATAGTAAGTAATTAGCAGTGAAAGTGTACTATAATAAGTAATTAGTAGTGAAAGTGCACTATAGTAAGTACTTAGCAGTGAAAGTGTACTATAATAAGTAATTAGTAGTGAAAAGTGCACTATAGTAAGTACCTAGCAGTGAAAGTGTACTATAATAAGTAATTAGCAGTGAAAGTGCACTATAGTAAGTAATTAGCAGTGAAAGTGCACTACAATAAGTAATTAGTAGTGAAAGTGCACTACAATAAGTAATTAGCAGTGAAAGTGCACTATAATAAGAAATTAGTAGTGAAAGTGCACTATAATAAGTAATTAGTAGTGAAAGTGCACTACAATAAGTAATTAGTAGTGAAAGTGCACTACAATAAGTAATTAGTAGTGAAAGTGCACTATAATTGGAACTTTGTATTATTTAATATTTTTATGTCTTACTTCAAATCGTTGACGTTTCTGTGAGAACTGGTTTTTCTCTTTGTTTTACTATTTCTTGTACGTATGTACAAAACGACGACTTGTTTTATTTTCCCCTCCGATACATAAACACCCCTGCAATGGATCATGAACTCGTACCATTTCCTTTCTGCGCCACATATAAAACGACAGTACTCTTTCGCGTATGCAAGTTCTGATATATAACATATCGCTGGTATTATATATGTGTATATATATTTTTTTTCAGGCTATTCAACAAGCTAGGACTACACGTTGACGATTCTTGAGATATGGAGATACTAGGATTGTTGTTTGTCTCCAACTGGCTAGTGTACACTGTTGCAGCCCTGTTAGCTGTGTATCTGTGAGTTCCTCGCCTTTCATCTGTTGTAATTTTTTATTATTGTGAGATTTTGTTTTATACAAACAAATTTTCAGAGCACCAACTTAGCTTATTTGTGTTTCATTACTTTGATGTTTGCCTGATTAAACAGATACGGTAAACAGCGATGTATACTTTAGACAGCTGGACGTTATGAATTATTTAATAAACGTCAAACCGTTAAAGTTTTTATCGACTGTGTGCATCTGGTCACTCCTACACTCCAGCCAGGCGAATTTAATTCATCAAAACGTCAAAGCCGATTTCCGCAGTAAAAAAGCAATTTACGTGTAATCGCCCTGTTCTTTGTTTCTTCTCCTATAAGTAGGTGCATTACTTGAAGTAATGAAGTGTAGTTAAACTTCTTTAACTCAAACTCGTTGAATTGAACTGATTAAATGAGTTCTCGCTTGATCTTCTGTAAACTTTTACAATTGACACACAGAACAGAGATGTCCACATTCCAGTGTCTGTTTTCTGATTGATCAGCTACATTGTGAAATTCATTCTGATTTCGAGCTCGGACTTGTTTTTGATCTGACAGAGCCATAACTAGTTCTGAAGTCCTGTTGTCTTGTTATCTGTTCTTACTGGTCATGTACTAAATGAAGGGAAGAAAAAACTTGTAATATGAAAATTCAGTTTAATTTGCGTTCGAATAAAACGACTTATTATGTGTTTTTAAAAAACAACAAATATTTTTACTTGTCCTACTATGGTCAGGTGGATAGGTTCACTTCAATAACGGGAAAAACCGTTACGTGTTGCCAAAAGTTGGCGGAGGGTTCTGTTGGCTATGTACCTTCTCTCATTTATATCAATTACGAATTATAGATGGTTAACGCAGATAGCTCTTGTGTATCTTTCTGCGAACCCTAAAGAAAATTCTATAAACGTCAACAATTCATTGAAATGATAACTTGTTTTAATAATTATTTATTGCGACAAGGATGTGTTGGAGAGTTTGAGCTTGAACACTGATATTAATACTCAAGGCTGTGTTGGAGAGTTTGAGCTTGAACACTGATATTAATACTCAAGGCTGTGTTGGAGAGTTTGAGCTTGAACACTGATATTAATACTCCACGTTGTCAATTTTTTTAGAGTGGTACATTGGTTGTACGTTTTGCTTCATAAATTTATATCACGTTTTAAACAGTGAACGATTAGGTAATCTTAAAACCAGATCCCAGCCGGATCTGCCATACTGCATGGTGTTTCAGTGGTTGTAGATAGGTGTGTCACATGGTAAGTTGGAAATGGTTTAATTTAAGACGAAGAACTTGTCTTGTTGATATGTTCATCATCTGGAGTGAAAGAGCAGCCGTATTTATGTAAGTGGGAAAAGTTTATCTAGAATAATGGATATGATCATCAAAATAAAAAGAACGCCATTTTGATTGGAACTTATGATACGTTTCTAAAGTGGATCCCTAAATTTATCATAACTGAACAATATTTATGAAAAAAGCTTCTAATATTTTTTAAGTAAATAAATAATCTATTATTTAACACTGTAACATTAAATAAGGTACCATTAGTTATTCTTTAAATATTACTTGCTTTGTGTATAGGAAATGGATACGTCTGACACGAGAGAAATCCTTAATAACGTTACTACTGTAACTCCCTAGGTACCTGACAAAGAATTTTGGCTATTGGAAGAGAAGGGGGATAAAAGAGATCACAACCAGATATCCGTACCAGGGTATCCTGTATTTTTTAAGAAAGGTAATCGTTTTACATGATTATCATTTGGTTAAAAGAAAGAATGTGAGTTTTTCCTATTTTCGTTTCTTCAGTCATACTTAATCTTTCGGACTATAAGAACTTAAGAAAAGTAAACACACACACACACACCAAAAAAAAAAATCAACCAAATTGGCATGTGAATTATTTAATAGACTAACGTATATATGATTTTAGTTTAAGCATTTGTGAAATGCTAATTTTTCGTTTTCGTTCTTCGAAAAACCAAAAAATTCAAGTATTTGATAATATGAATTTGTTTTTCCCCTCTAGCCTTTTCAGGAAATACAGGAGGAATGCTACAAGAAATATGGAAAGATTTATGGGTATTGTTGAGTTTAATTCATTTAGTAGCAGTAAGGCATGTTATTTTACAGAATTTGAATAATATTTTCTTCCAGTGTATTGTATCCAAAGAAGAAAGCATACATAAAAGTTAGTATATCGGGTTAGTGAGTCAAAAAGGCAAACTTATAATTTTATAAAACTAGTTTTATATATCAACTAAGGGGAAAACATTTTAATGTGAATTCCTTCAAAGTGAAATTAGTTTAATAACTATAGTGAATCGATAATTAGATAATATTGTTTTACAGGTTCGGATATTATAATTAGACAACACTGTTTTACAGGTTCGGATATTATAATTAGACAACACTGTTTTACAGGTTCGGATATTATAATTAGATAAAACTGTTTTACAGGTTCAGATGGTGTGGCATGGCCTGTTAGTTAGGGCGTAAGCTGAGGGTCGTGGGTTCGAATCTCCGTTCCACCAAACATGCTCGCCCTTTCAGCCATGGGGGCGTTATAATGTGACGGTCACTCCCACTATTCGTTGGTAAAAGAGTAGGTGGTGGGTGATGATGACTAGCTGCCTTCCCTCTAGTCTTTCACTACTAAATTAGGGACAGCTAGCGCAGATAGCCCTCATGTACCTTTGTGCGGTGCCCCCCAGTAGCACAGCGGTATGTCTGCGGACTTACATCGCTAGAAATCGGGTTTCGATACTCGTGGAGGGCAGAACACAAATAGCCCATTGTGTAGCTTTGTGCATAAATTCAAACAAATACATAAATATACGCTCTTTAGAAACAGCTGTAATGAGTAATAGTAAGTAATACGTATATCTCGGTTTAGAATTTTGTCAATTACCGAAGATACAGTTGGAAGTTACTTCTTCTAGTGCAGTTACAAAAATGTGGCCCCAACCACGTATCGGGGAATACAGCCCATCTCTTTTTATCGTGTTATGTGGCCCTGAACTACCAATTCAAGGTACCGTTTGTTTTGAGCAAAGTCACTGAGTATTACACAGTAAGCAACTGGTACAACTTTGTGTTATGGTGTATTATGGACCCCAAGGTCGCGTGATTAGAACATCTTCGTTCTGGAGGTCTGCAGTCATTTTAATAGTAATCAAATGAAAATATATGAAAAGCTTGCTATGAAAGAGATATTTCAAATATCAAACTAAATTGTAAATTAAAGTTTGAGTAAACAATTCCCTAATTGTGTGATAATGCTGTTGCTAATGTTCGAATGCTATGTCTCTAACATGCCCAAGACCCGAAAAAAAAAGGCCGCCACCCTTGTTACTCACGTAAGTGTCATTACTCAATCGCATAGTGACATTGAACATGCGCAGAACTTAGATTTTAATTTAACAATATGTGTGTGTGGGGGTGAATTTCCGGCGTTTCAACAACTTAACTTATAAAATTTTAACCGCCCAATTGAATACTTTTGTTTAAGCACAAAACTACAAAATGGGCTAGCTGTGTTGTGCCCATCACGAGTTTCAAACACAATTTTACTCCAAAAACGTAAGCACACAACTATAAAAAAACAAAAACAAAAAAATATTAATTCCGGTTCTGTCAGCGTAGTATATCTGTACCAAATTGTACTTTTGTAAGAAATCAGAAAATAACCAACATCTTTATGTAGCCACTTAATTTATGAAACTTGTATCTACTGCGCATGCTCCCAATAAGTGCCTGGTCTTCATTTGAACTGACACTTACATTCTCCCACCACCACAAATAATAATAAAAATCCTCTTTAATAAGTTGGTAATCATGGAATGGGATAAGTCCTGCGTGCAACTTCGAGTACATAATTTCTCTTATAGTTTTTGTTAAGGAGTAATTAGAAGTGATGAGTGGATTTAGATGGGGACGAACCCGACGCAGCTCTTCCTTTTTTTTTTTTTTCATGCGAATCTTCGACTACGTCTTTCAAATGTAATGCTAAAAAATATGCGAAAAGCATGAAAATATCGTGTGTTTTTTTTTCTATTGCTGAATAGCTATCGGCCTTTGATCCAAGAGGGGATCTTTCGTTTAACCTCGTCCCGAAACCCATGACCCGTTTTTTTCATAGGGTAATAATAATAATAATAAGAAGAAAAAGGTCAAAGGTGATGTTACGATGCCAAAACATTTTTATAGCCTCGTCCTTAATAGCTGTATATACATAAAAAAAAATTAAAACTTGGGTTGCATGGACAACGTCCACATCAAACGAAAAGTTCCCGGGGAGTGCAAAACAAAAAAGCTTTTATTTGTTTGAAATTCCTACTCAAATCTGAAACTCGAAACAATAATGAAACTTGCATTTACACAATGTAAACGAAGATCACAAAACATTTGTAGTTTATTTTTGCATATGGTGCAACTGTCCATTGCTGCACACTTGGAAAATGGGCAGCATGTAATAGATGCAACGCTGCAAGGACACGTACAATATTGGAGTCGCAATTTTGGTACGTTCAAGGCTTAACTAACGCATCAGGTCGTCCTGCTGATGTGGTGATTGGTTTTAATACACTATTGCAGATTTTGTAACGGCACTGTTGCTGGTTCCATCCAAGTCTGTTGTTGACAGTGTTGGTCCAAGTGGGACATTGTATATATATATTTGAAGTTCTGAGTACGAGCCTTTCATTGTTGGCTGATCTGAATTTGATTATACTGCTTGATATGAATTGCAACGACAGATAAAAGTTTCTGTTGGTGAAATAATGTTTGTGGAAAATATTGTACGTGTGAAATCCACAAGTAGCCCTGTTTACATGTTGATCTACAATTACCCAGGATGTGAATTACAAGTTCGTCAAAAGGAATTGCGTGTGCATACTGTTTAATTGCACACCAATAGCCAAGCTCACTAAGTCCAGAATATTGGAGCTTTTTTCTGGAATGGAAGATAGCACACATCAACGTTTCTGGACTCAACAGGACAGTTATAAAACCTAGATTGGTATAATGTACGACTCGACACCTAGTGAAGCCTTGCGACACCAATACTGTGTGCACTGCAGTGCAGCAATGGACAGTCGCACCACCTGTACAAAATAAAGTTCGATTTTTCGTGATCGTTAACGGTATGTCTCCAATGTAATCTAAATTTTATGTACATTTTGTGTATACGTGATTTTAATTACTGTTTTAGGCTGAAGCAAGGTTGTGTTGTACTATTCCCTGACAGCTTCTGTTTGATATGTCTAACCTTACAACTCAAATTAAGAAAAACAAACGCACAAGAGAAATTTCAAGGACTCTTTAAGTTTCATGCGAGACTCGTGTCAAGGAAAAGGCTGCGTTAATCATCCAGTTTGGTCATTAAGAAATACTACTAAATACTAATTGTAATAATAATTTATTTAAAAATAGGTAACGTATTTTAATTTCAAAAACACCAGCCAACCATTTGCTATTTGTCATACATTTTAACAAATAACAATAAATTTTAAGGAAAACTAAATTTCTTTTTTGCTAGTTTTAGTATGTAAATGGTTACAATTAATGTGTGTTTCAGGCTCTACGAAGGGCGAAATCCTATGCTAATGGTGGGAGATCCGGAGCTTGTAAAGCTTATCCTGGTCAAGGATTTTCATGCTTTCACCGATCGCAGTGTAAGCAAAGATTTTGGCCATCTTTAGGAAACAACTATTCATTCTAGCATCAAAAAGATGATAACTAAGCCAGTTACTTAACCCTTGTTATTTCTTACCTTTCTCTTTAACATATAACGACAGCACCTCTCGTGGCAAAATTCTAACTTTTGTCTTCAAATATTGATGTTTAATCAAAGCTGTTTTAATCCATTCGTTGAAAACTGTATCTTAACTCCTTTTATTTAAAACATTAAACTCGCATAGTTTAATTATATATTTAATTATAATTCACGTGACACTTCCCTTTACGTAGTAAAAGGTTAACTTATTTTACATCATATGTCTAAAGTTGTTTATTATTTCTAAATCCATGGTCTTTATATATATATATATATATAAGTTTGCAATTGATATGCAAAACTGTCTTAATAATCTCTAAGTTAGTTCCTATACAGATTTATTCAGTTAAAAAGAGTTCTAGGCTTATATATGGACGTTTGTATTTAAAATGATCTGCATAACTACTGTTTTGTACTAGAAGTGTGACCTTGTTGCCAGTTTTGTAACCCAAAACGTTGTGCTTTTAACTGCAAGTGTGTGACTTTGTTGCCAATTTTTAACCTGAAACATCACACATGTCAAGTTTAATGGTGGCACTTCACAGATCGTAATCAAAGTGATTTCACAATACACATCTTAAATTACCGTTTCTCGTCTTTAAGTAAATCCTCCCATTTGGATTGCTATGATTTTTGTATTTCAAACTTTATAAACTGTATCCAATGGAATGTACCACTTTTACAACACGTGTGATAGATCGACTGGTTTTTTATTACCCTAATATGTCGATCATAATATACTTATATGAGAAAAATATGTCTTAGTAATAACATATGTTATTTATTTGTTTAATTATGTGTTTTACTTTGATTCAGGGTATTTCGAGTGATGACCCCATTCTGAGCAAATTTTTATCGATTCAGTGTGGAGAAGAATGGAAGCAAACCAGAAGTGTCATTTCACCAACTTTCAGCACCAGTAAAATAAAAAAAGTTTGTTTCCATCTTAGTAGACTTTGTTACTGTAAAATGCATATTATGAATTTGACTAACTGGTAACAATCTATTGAAGAGTCTTTACCCGAAATATTGTAACTTTAGTTTTCTTTGATGCTATGGATCAGTGAAAATACATAAATGTATCGCTGTGTCAGATTAAGAATGAGACAAGTGAGCGGCAACAACCTTTCTTCAGTTCCATATGATAACCTTAATGCTCATTGAGCACTCATATTCAAGTGTGTATTATAACTTTAATGCTTTTTAAAACACATTGGAGTTAACCATATACAACTGAAGTGTTCGCGCGAAACATTGAGTTATCAAAACTTTTATTTTTCTCTGGTATTGATGGTTTACGTTAATTTATTTAGGTGTTCTGTGAATGTTTCGTCATCTGATATATTTAGTGCTTTTTGGGACTTTTAGATGACTGGGCTCGTTGAAGACACTGTGAAAAGCTTGATTCGAAACCTTGAGGAAGCTGCCGACAAGAAGGAAGTTATTGACTGCAAAAAGTACGTTAGAATTCTCAATCCTACCCATACAAAACGTACGTGTTTTAGCCATCTAATTACCGTACGGATGGTCCCTAAACTAAAAATGTACTTGGAAGAATATTTTTTCAAGATTATGAAAAACCTGTTTGAACCGAACTGAAATAAAAATCCGCCAAATATAGTTTTTAGAATAAAATTTAACACCATTTCTGTCATGGAAAATTACTTTTAAGTAAATTAACAATATATGTATGTACGTGTAGTGTTTATAACGACGCATAGGCCTGTAGAATGGGAAAATAAACCTGATTTTTGGAATTCTCTAGCTAGGAAATGCATACAAATAATGGAAATGCCTGTTAATTTTTTACATTTATTTGTTAATATGGGTTTGGTCCCCCGCGAGCTGATGACACAAAATTGACACGAAGTGAAATAGATAACATTTAGTCCTGACGACTGTGGTGGTCAAGTTAGATGCTCAAAGTTCCTCAGGTTCTTTAAACCAATCTTTAATAATTTCAACTGTATTGATCGGTACACTGAGTGTCCGCCATGTTTAACTGATGCCACAACCTTTTAATAAGGGTTTTAAACTACCCACAAACACGCCCATTTAATGGATGAATGTAGAAGATGACTAGTCTCAATAAACCACGTTCTTCGATTGATCTTTGACCCAATTTTGTTGTTGTTGTTGTTCTTGAGACCATTTTGCTCGAGCGTTTGCATTTGCTAGTGTTATTATATATACTGGAAATGGAACCTAAATGATTCTTCTAACTACTGGCATTGAGAAATTTGACACGAATAACTGCGTGAAGTAGATATATATATATATATATATATATATATATATATAGAAGAAACTACACAGAGAGAGAGAGTACGTCGTCTACTATACTAGTAGTAATAATATAACTAACGAAACTA